TTGGGAACAAGTGTGGATGAGGATCCAGGAAGATGGACGCAAACCACCGCAGGGTGTCTGTAGCCTGGTTCTATCTGCCACTGGGTCTTGGAAGTGTGGGTATGTGTGCAAGGCCAGATACAAGGCAGATGTTGAATTTGCCAAGTGTGCACAGGATGCTTCAAATGAAAAAAAAAATAACAAGACTTCTTTTGGAGCTCATCCAAATACTAGACAATCCTTCTCCTTCTCTCCATTGTTGGGATGTAGAATAGAGTTGATCTTCAGATGGGAGTGAATCATGCCAACCTGAAAAGAACTTTACTTGAGAGGGGAAAGATTAGCAGGAATTTATATAAGATTGGGCTCCCTGAAAACAGATTCTGAGATAGAGATATGCATGCGGGGGATTTATTGGGAGGGTTCTCAGGAACATTATGTGTAAAAGAGTAGAGAAAGCAGGAGTGGGAAGAGCAGGGAGATCAATGACAGCATGGTGGCAACAAAGGCTTGCCGCCCTTGAGGAAGGGGGCCATGTTTTGAGCAAGCATTTGATGCAGGGTGTGCAAGGAGGGGTTATGACCTTGAGTGAAGCTCCCTTTGGCTCAAAGTGATTGTCAGAGGGGAATCCAGTTCTGAATTATAGACAGTCAACACTCCCTATAGCTAGAAGAATGAGCAAGTTGGTCTTGAGGAAGAAATCTGGGTGTTCCATTGTAGTATCTACTATAAAGCCCAACTCTTGCCTTCTCTCCAACTCGACTCAATAGTAGGCTGTATGACACTCAGTTCACACAGTAATAATAAGAGAGCTCATGTAAAAAAATAAATAAAAATTTTAAAAAACCCCATATAAACTCTTGTGCAATTGTTGATTTGAAAAGTGCTTCTTATATTTTTGTGTGCAAGCTCCTGGGTGCTTGGCCTGTCATTAACTAGTGTCTGCTGTTTCAGGAAAATATCATTCCCAAGCACTGGTTCCCAAGTACCCTACTTATCCTACAGCCAGCTTCCAATAAAAGAACCAGCAGGAACTTGATAATAGCTAAGCTATACCAAAGGTTGGTCTCTATACATATGCTCTTGTTTCTAGGTTTATACCCACTGATCTCAGTCAAATAGATTTTTGACAATTCAACCTTATCCTACCCATAGTTAGGGAAAATTCATCACTGCCTTTTGAGGGATCCCATTCCTCATTGCAATGAAGAATCTTGGCCCTTTACGTGGTCTTGAGTCACATTTGCAAGATGGTCAAAGTTTTATCACATTATCTTACACAGATATGGATTAAAAGCCCTTAGCTCAAATTCTTTCCCTGTCTTTCAACTGCCACAATAACAATCAATAAACACAACATATGACACACTTGGTCTCTCAGGGTGTTAATGGTTATTTTGATTTAAGGGCCTGATATAAATATTAAGTGAATTTTACTATATGCCCTATATTAACCACTTTCCAGGTGTTTTTTTTTCTCCTTTTAATCCTGGCATCAGCTCTATTGGTTAGATATAATTCTACCCCAGTTCTGCACATTTTCATATTAAGATGTACAGATAAGGTGCTTTGCCCAAGCCATAAGAAGCCAATCTGTAGTGTGAACCAGCTAGTGGAATGTCACAACAGGAGAACTCACTTTCTACAAGCACACTAATGACCTTCCATCCAGTCACCACCAGCAACTTGCTAATGTGCAGTAGATGAAATCTAGATAAGAGAATGATCTTACCCTCAAGGAAATTAAAACAAGGAAATAAACTCGTTTTTCAAAGAGTACATGGGATTAGTGTTTAAAGGTCATTTATGCAGCCACCACTTTTCATTTCCAGCATAGTTTGATATCATGAGTGGACTGTTTGTCAGTGCAGACTCTCCATCTGAGGCAGATTAGACAGAGTCCCAACAGTAAGAACCTTTAAATCAAGAAAATTTACTCTAAATGGTCCCAACATACCCCAAAGCCAGAAAAGTTCACCGCTCCACATTAAAAATGTTAGAAAAAGATCATATTGCAGCAGCTGCTTATGTGGATTACCTAGTCTAGCCATTTTGCTAAGGCTTAAAAAAAAACCTGTCTGAGTTGTAGAAAGAAAAAAAAAAAAAGGAAAACAAGCCCTGAAATGATCAAGTTGGTGCTTGTTGATATAGAGTTATGATTTCCCATTTGTTGCCCCAGAAGACTCAGGTGTATCTGAAATAAAGTCGAGATGTTTTCCTGGACTCAAGCAGTGGCAGGATTCTGTTGCTGTAGTTTTTCTTCCTGTGCCCTACTCTGTTTCCCGAACCATAGCTTGCCTTGAAATTGTTTTTAATCTTTGGAATGTTTCACAGTGGATCCAAACCACATTAGGAAATCTCAGTCTCTTCTTGCAGCCATTCTATAATTCACAAAGAAATGAGAGCAAACGTACTTTGCCCTCAACCTATACCTTCTGTGTGAAGACTGGCAATACTGTGTGCATGTATGTCTGTGTGTGCATGTGTGTGTAGATGTGTCCCTGACCCTTTTAAAATTTAGTGGCCTTAAACACTGATTTAGTTTTGAATCTTCAAAAACACAAGGCATGGTCTATAAGGCATGGCATGGTCTCCATTTTATAAAAACCAAACAGAAGTCCAGTCTTCGACAAGCTTTCACCATGAGAATAGGAACTGTGGTGGAACTTTTCAGTTATCAAATTGGATATCACTTTCTGGGCTCCTGATGTGTCCATTTTTTCTCCATGGTACTTACTACTTTCAATATTATTAGTTTCTTGCCTTTTCTCGTTTTTCTGGCCATTGTCAAGGTTAATTATAGCAAGAAAAATGATGAAAGTAGATCCTACCATAGGATATTTCTTGGTACAGGTGATATTAAAGACCTGATTTCTGACACCATGAATTCAGTTCCAATGTAATCATCTAGACTCAGAGGTAGAAAAAAAATATACTTCTCAAGGATCTGAGATTTGTTAGGAGAGGAGGGTGTGCTAGAGAGTAAGGGTTATGGTCCATGCCACAGCCTTTTTACCACAAGGAACAAAATTGTCCATCTCGTTTGAAGATTTTTATGAAAAGTTATAAATTACCTGTAAAGTATCTGTGAACCTGAAACAGAAAGATCATGTTTCTCATCTTGTTGCTTGTGATTTCAGAGTACTCAGGCTTCTGTTGTGAAATGTTTTCTCAACTTAAAATCCCAGGGTTCCTCATGCATGGAGAGAAATACTTAAAAGTAGATGTCACCTTAAGAAAGGCCAATGAATTCATAGTGTTGCTCTTGGTAGATAAGCAAACTGAAAAGAACCAGTATGATAGATCTCTTGGCTTATCTTTGTGTAGTTTTTGGTGGAGGTTTTGTTTGACCACAGGTAGCTTATACCTGGGCTACAGTGGATAAGCACATTAGGGTTGAATTAGCAGAGAGTACCGAGGTAAGCATATAAGGTCACTTCTTAAGGATGTCGTCAAAGAACCGGAATCCTTTTTCTTTTCTTTTTTCTTGTTCTGCCATCTTTAACATATGGCTTTCATTCTCATAGACGTGTCACTTCCAGGCATCATTTTCAGATTTCATGGTAAGGACAACAAAACAAAACAAACAACCCTCCCCCCACCAAAAAAAAGACACGTTACTTTATTCTGTCCCTTTTTAGTAATAATAATATTAAAAACAATATTTTAAAAAAAACACTTTCAGGGATCCCACATAATAGAGTTGCTTTTATATCTCATTGGCAAGAACTGATTCGCATGACTATACCTAGATGTGAGTGAGTCCGGAGAGGTATTTCAAAGTAATAATTAGCCACCTTGAATTTTGATTTTTTTGTTAGTATTGGAAAACTAGGGAGTAGCCGTATACTGGGACCTAAAATTAGAAATGTTTAATGCCACTGGAAAGGAAAAGACATATATTTTCTTTCTTTATAAACATTATACCTGATACACAAGCTCAGATGTTCATCTTTCATGAAGTTTCTCTTCCTCGATGTTTTCTGTGACTCACCTTGCCCTTGGTTCTTTACAATGTCACTGACCTACTGTGTTCAACCTAGCTGTCTACATGCCCACTTAACCTCATTTAGACTGCTAGCTCCTCAAGGATGGAGGTTTAGTCTTTCATCACTTTTATAATTTTATTTCTTACCACCATGTCTTGCACACCAGTGGAGACTAAAAAGATTGCTTGAATAAATATTAGGACAAAGTAAGATCTGGTAGATTGTGAGCCCTAGGAGGTAGGCTCTGGGATTCTGGGAGTCTATCGATTGCCTCTTCCCCAGACTTCCTTGAATCTAGGCTACCTTTCTCTTTCTTTCTATGTCCATGGCAATTCAGAACCTCCTTCCCCAACTGCACCACTCACCCCAGGAATCAGCATTTTATTTTTACAGAAAGTGGATAACCAACACAGCCTGGCATTCTGTGCTTTGGAAGGCTTGCCCTTCACCTTGAGCAGAGTTATTGCACAGCAATAACCTAATTTTGGCCTGTGCCACATCACAAGTTGACTCATCTGTATATAAAACTCATTTTTTTTCCTCTTGTGAGATCTGATCAAAAGAGATCTTGATTTTCCCATTGGAAGAGCCAAAAGTGTGAACCAAAAGTATGTCACACTTTGGTGCCAAAGCGTGAGCTGAGGAAGAGGCTTGGGTACAACAAGGCATCTTGCTGTTGGATAATATAGCAAGCTTTTGGTCCCGGCTTATGCCTGATCTCTAATGTTCTGATTTGTCTTAATTTTTTTTATTTGAGTTGTTTGAAAGAATTAAGGGCTTCGGACCAAATGGGACTGCTTTTGTACAAAAAGTTTTATTGTAACCTAGCCACACCCATTCAATGAATTATTGTCTATAGCTGCTTTCCCTCTACAACCTCAGAGTTCAGTAGTTGTGATAGCAGCCCTAAGGCTCACAAAGTCTAAAATATTTACTAGGTGGCTAGCTTTTATAAAGTAAGTTGCCTGACTCTTGATTCAGGGAATTCTGGAATTTCAGGATTTTTTGCTGAATTAACTCATCTCAATTTTCAGAGCTCTCTACTTTGTTCCAATCAGGACCTCTACCTTGTCTGGAGCTGTGTTATGGAGTCAGTAAGTACTGAGTTTGATCCTTAATCTTTTTTACCCTATCACTATAGCAAAACATTGTCTTTCACATCTTATATTGGTGATTAAACATGGTCAGTTTTTCATTTCTTTCTCCAATGCATTGATGGCCCAGGAATAAACATTCGATTTCATAGTCCTTATAATTATTCTTTTCTGTGACTCTTTCAAAAGTCTGAGTTATTATGTCTCCCAGGGCATTTTCTTCTTTCACTGTTCTAAGCCAGGTCACCACTTGAGGCTGTCTTCAAGGGTTTATAACCTGTGGAGTTACACAGGGTCCTGAGTGTAGAGGGGTCTCATGCTTGGTTTAGTGCTATGCTGTTACCATTTTAAAATTCTTAACATTTTTATCTTTGACCTGTTTTGCAGGTGAAGTCCAACAAGATAGTGAACACATACTTGAGCCGGGAAAAGGATATGTGCTATCCACGTGTCTGTGGTTCCTCGACCTGCCATTAGCATAAAGCACTTGTGATCCCATGAACACAGAATTCTCCCAGCATACCTGGGAGTTCCAGAGATTGAAGAGCCAGTAAAAGATAAGCATTTTGAGTTTGCAACTGTGTGCTGAGAGACCACACTGTTTGTTTGAACTTGAAGTGCTTCAAATATAGAAATAACACAATGAAAGAAACAACAAAGCCAGAGAATACTATCCTGTAATTTCTTACATGTGTTGCTGTCTTGCATCAGCACTACTTATTGGCAATGATGATGAAGGAAAGAGAAAGACAGGGCATACCCCCAGTCTTTCTTTACTCATCAGTAAGCCCAAAATGGTGAAAGCCCATTTTCTGGTTCATATATAACCCCTTCTTCCTTCATCCTCACATAGTGGAAGGAGTAAGGAAGCCACCAATCCCATTTATGGTGCTCCATTCTCATGACCCAATTATCTCCCAAAGCCACATCTCCTGATACTGTCAGGAGGGGATTAGGATTTTGACATAAGTTTTGGAGGGACACAAATATTCAGACTATAGCACAGTGACTCTGCTTATGAATTAAATGATCTTATATTTACATTTAAGGCTGATATTGCACAATATAAAGATGAGTGGTAAGACTCATGCTAATAATTAAAATTTTAAATAGATGACAGTAAATAGAAAAAGCAAAACTCCATGACGAGTCTAGAGACTACAGAAGAAGGGAAAAGCTTTCTAATTTATGAACTTTGACAGAACATTTTCACTTTTTGTTGTTGTTGTTTTGAACAAAGTCCTTCACATTTTAATTTTTTGGGTACTGCAAATTATGTACCTGGATCCTTTCACCCTGTGAAGTTTTTCACAATTGTATCATGTGCTAAGGGTAATAGTGTACAACCTGCCACTGGTCTTCATTGCTGGACAATCTGTGAGAGATCCAGATCCATAATCTTATTCATTTAGACTCTGGCTCCCAGGGCAACATCTGGGAATTGTCTTAGGTTTGATTCTCTAGGGAGAACTTTCCAAGAAGGAAATTTGTTCATACATGTACCTGGTATGTTCTCAGAAATATCTAAGATAGCTTATGGAAATGAGGTCAGAGAAAGTGACACTTTAATGTAATTGAGACAGGACTTTTGAATGACTTTATGGTGAGTTCTAGAGCTGAAGTGGCCCTTCAGAGATGTTTCAATTGAGGAAAGGGGTCTGGGCCTTTCTACCCTCACGTTGATCAGTCATGGGATGCAGGCAGCTCCCAAGGGGCAGCATAATTGTTGATGAGCCATTCTCCAGCTGAAGACAACTGCTGGAGAAGGGCTTGGTTGTAAGCAATGGAGGCTTATGCTTGTAGAAGCTGGGGGACGATTGCCTCAAGGAGTCTAGATGGCACACAAACACAGAACAGGGTCCATGCAATAGTCAGGAACTGGAAGGCATCAAGAAGTTTCAACAGATGCAAAGATTTTCTCTAAATCTTTCACTGTCTTTAGACTACGTAGAACAGAAAAGAAAAATACCGCTGTCAGAGATACCGTAAAATTATTTCAGTGGCAATAAATATTAACCAGGATGTGGGGAAAAAGTTACCCTTATATATTGCTGGTGGGGCTGCAGATTGGTGCAATAACTCTGGAAAACAATATGGCAATTCTTCAGAAAACTTGGAATGGAACCACAATTTGGCCCAGTTATCTCACTCTTCAGCATATACCCAAAGGATTTAAAATCAGTATGCTCTAGTGATTTGGCCACTTCAGTTCACAATATCTAAGCTATGGAACCAATCTAGGTGCCTTTCAATAGAAGAATGGATAAAGAAAATGTGGTACATATATACAATGGAATATTTCTCAGCCATAAAGAAGAATGAAATTATGGCCTATGCCAGTAAATGGATGGAACTGGAGACTATCATGCTAAGTGAAATAAGCCAATCCCTTAAAAACAAAAGCCAAAGGTTCTCTGATATGTCAATGCTAACATACAATAGTGTGTGGGGGTGGTGGAGAATAGAAACTCATTGGATTAGACAAAAGAAAATGAAGGAAAGGAAGGGGGATGGGAATAGGAAAGGCAGTAGAATGACTTGGACATAACTTTCCTATGTTCATATGTGAATACACCACCACATCATGTACAACCACAAGAATTTGAAGTTATACTCCATGTTTGTAGAATATGTCAAAATATACTCTACTGCCATGAATATCTAAAAATAACAAATAAAAAATTTTAAAATATTACTTCTGTATTTTAAATATGACCATTACAATAGAGTCAGGCAAAATCGGTTTTATTAAAAGTATATTAGTGCTTAAAAAAAAAAAGAACAATTTCTTCCCTCTTTTTTTGGTTCCAGGTGTTCAGTATCAACACTTATTCAATCCAGTCTTCTGGAGAAATGTGGATGCTAATGGCCTTTTTTCTAAAAAAAAAGGGGTTAACTTTGTGGTTTATTACAATAGGAAATGTCTCAACTGCATGCTACTAATGTCAGGGGCCTAATCCAAAAGTTACAAAATAGCCTGAAGTTCATAATGCAGTTTTAGAATGAAAAATAAAATGCTTCCTCTATGATTGATGAGATTATATATGGGATGGGCTGAGATGGCATGTGAATGTGTTTATGTGCATGAGTGTGGGTATGTTAGTTGGGGGTAGAGTAGGGGCGGAGGGGGTACACACCTTACAAGTTTGAACTGGGCAAGCCCAAAGGAATCATGCTTGGCCTAGGTCCCATGGTACAAGTTTGTACTGAACCATGAAAGATGATGCTTGGTTCGGTGTGTGACACCTGGTGTATAGGCTGAAAGGAAGGCATGCCTTGTCAGGGATTTTCCCAGATGCTTTCTGGATTTCTCCACCATTGTCAGCAGCTCCTTTTAGACATACAAAACATGTGTACCAGGTATTGCCAGGGTGCTGTTTGGGGAGCAGCTTGCTAGTTGTTCTTTCTCATTGGTATAATCCTGGATGAAGGGGGAGATTGGCAAGAAACCAGCTCTCTCCCTCTACCCAATCAAAAACTCTATTTCGTGAATTGAGGAATGATTCTCATTGCCAGGTTAATGGACAGAGCATTCAAGATTTTGGCAAGGGCCTGATGCAGGTGTGCTTGCTATCTCTCTTCCCTGCCTAGGATAGTAGGATCATTAGAAAAGGTCAAACTTTCAGGAGAGTGGAGGAAAGCTGAGTGTTCCAGACAGTCTCAACTTAGACCCCCTTCTGTCTGACTGCTTCTACTCCGAGTTAGGGTAGTGGTGATGGTGTGTTGGAGAATATTAACCACTAATTACACTCATGATAAAGAAGCAATGTATGTCTCATTTTGATATTGAGGCTGGCTGATTCCCTCTAGTTAGTCAAGCAGAGCATGATTTGATATTAAGTGAACTCAAGAAAGACATTAAGTGAACTCAAGCAGATGGGTTTCACGAGATAGGGAGAGATGTTGGCACATTATTGCTGTGTTGGTAAAACCCCAAACTTGGGCATCATTCTTCTCATCATGAGCAGAGCAGGTTGTTCATCAGGGTGTCCACAGGAAGAGAGTAGCACAGAAACTCCCCTGTCTCTGACACTTGCCAGTGCCTACCCAGGTCTGCATTGCCACAGAAGTGAAATCCTGACTCAGGAGATCAGAACTTCTCATTAATGCTTCATTGACAAGGGGTTCAGCCACTGTAACTTTTCCCTCATTGAATACTGTCCCCTCTCACTTTCTAGTTTTATTTTTTTTTTCCAGCACTGACAAAACAAGAAATTTTGAGAGCATTCAAAATGCTTTCTCTTTTCCTAAAACAATAATCACATTGTAAAACCCAAGAGTACTGCAATAGGTGTCTTTCTGGTCCTTTGTTAATGCCACTGGTATTTGTCTAGCCTTAAAAAAGCTTTTGGCTCAATATCCTACTCGTATTTTTTGGGCTCTAGCTTGCTAGAATTGTTGGGACAAGTAAACCATTTCCCTTTCAGCATTCATTACAAAAAAAAAAAAAAGAAACCCCATTGTATTTCTTAAAAGTGACTCATCTCCTTTTTTGGGATAGAGTTATAGCTTAAGATTTGGCCAATGGTATACTTTTTGGTTGTGAAATGCAGATGTTCAGAGGCTAAGAGATGCTGAATTTGGTATGAGTTTTATCCTACATTTGCTGCACTTCCAGGATGCTGGCAGAACTGGATGAAAACATTTTAATAAATGAATCTAATGGGTTCTTAGTAAAACTCTTTTAAGATTGAATTTGAGTTCCAGGTGAAATTTATATTGAGAGAGAAGAACAAATAGTCACATTAGTGCAGAGTTATTTTGACCAATATTTTTGTTTTTTGAAAAATGAAAAGTTTTATTGTTTCTTTGTAATTACTAAATAAATGCTTATATGTTTAAAGCTTTAAACATTGTTATACTTTTAAATGGGAAAAACCCCAGTTACGAATACTATCACAAATGTTTCAGAATAGACAGTGACATATGAGGAAGAAAACATGAATTATTACTAATACTGCTATTCAGTGATAATTAGCATTAAGGAATTTGATTTATAACCTCATAGTCTGTTTTCCAGTATATACATACAGGTTGTTTTTGCCAGCATGGAACTGTACCATATATGCTGTTTTGCAACTTTCTAAAATATTCATTAATGAATGAGTTACAGCTTTATATTTTTAGTCAAAAAACAGACTTGTGAAATGTAACCCTCTTTAGAGAGTTTCCTATGACAAAAGTAGAAACATTTTCACAGCAAATGAATTGTATACAATTTTTTTAGCAATTTGATAGAATTAATAGGCAGGAAGTAACAACTTAAATATTTTGCTTTGAACTTCTTGATCAATTAAATTGAAGGAAAGTTTCTGGGGACAAAGGGTTTTTGACAATCATAGAGCCAAACAACCTGGCTAAAAGTTATTATTAGCCTTCTCTGAATCTTTTGTACAAGTTTCCTGGGAACCTGCTAACATATAGAAAATAAAGGAAATAAAGGGCACATTCCTCTACAAACATTAATCTGGGTCTTCTGTTGCAAGAGCATATGAAATATCTGTGGACCATGTTTATTTTGGGTGCTGCCAGGAGTCTGAGTCCATAGAATCATTTGTTCCCAGATTTTTCTCTATCATTTTCTTTCTCATTGTGTACAGAACCAAAAATAAGGCCAAGAATGGGTGTGGGAGGTTAAAAGTGCATCATATTTGAAAGTACTTGG